GAGGGAAAGCGTGAAGGGGTAAAGGGAGGAGGGGGAAGAGGGGGAGAGGAGGGCGAGGAGGAAGTGCAGGAGGGGAGGGGAAAAGGGGAGCGGGAGTGGGAGCGAGGAGTGTATAAGTGCCATCAACCGAGCGAGGGGGTGCTGCTGTCGAAGCAAGTGTGGTTCACGCACTCTGATAACACCACCGTCAACCCCCTGCTTACCATCGGGTGCGTTGCGTTGCGTTGGGCCAGTGTGGGAAGGTGAGAAAGCGGAAAGAGGGCAAGGGAAAGGTGTGGCAAGGAGGGAGGAGGGAAAGCGTGAAGGGGTAAAGGGAGGAGGGGGAAGAGGGGGAGAGGAGGGCGAGGAGGAAGTGCAGGAGGGGAGGGGAAAAGGGGAGCGGGAGTGGGAGCGAGGAGTGTATAAGTGCCATCAACCGAGCGAGGGGGTGCTGCTGTCGAAGCAAGTGTGGTTCACGCACTCTGATAACACCACCGTCAACCCCCTGCTTACCATCGGGTGCGTTGCGTTGCGTTGGGCCAGTGTGGGAAGGTGAGAAAGCGGAAAGAGGGCAAGGGAAAGGTGTGGCAAGGAGGGAGGAGGGAAAGCGTGAAGGGGTAAAGGGAGGAGGGGGAAGAGGGGGAGAGGAGGGCGAGGAGGAAGTGCAGGAGGGGAGGGGAAAAGGGGAGCGGGAGTGGGAGCGAGGAGTGTATAAGTGCCATCAACCGAGCGAGGGGGTGCTGCTGTCGAAGCAAGTGTGGTTCACGCACTCTGATAACACCACCGTCAACCCCCTGCTTACCATCGGGTGCGTTGCGTTGCGTTGGGCCAGTGTGGGAAGGTGAGAAAGCGGAAAGAGGGCAAGGGAAAGGTGTGGCAAGGAGGGAGGAGGGAAAGCGTGAAGGGGTAAAGGGAGGAGGGGGAAGAGGGGGAGAGGAGGGCGAGGAGGAAGTGCAGGAGGGGAGGGGAAAAGGGGAGCGGGAGTGGGAGCGAGGAGTGTATAAGTGCCATCAACCGAGCGAGGGGGTGCTGCTGTCGAAGCAAGTGTGGTTCACGCACTCTGATAACACCACCGTCAACCCCCTGCTTACCATCGGGTGCGTTGCGTTGCGTTGGGCCAGTGTGGGAAGGTGAGAAAGCGGAAAGAGGGCAAGGGAAAGGTGTGGCAAGGAGGGAGGAGGGAAAGCGTGAAGGGGTAAAGGGAGGAGGGGGAAGAGGGGGAGAGGAGGGCGAGGAGGAAGTGCAGGAGGGGAGGGGAAAAGGGGAGCGGGAGTGGGAGCGAGGAGTGTATAAGTGCCATCAACCGAGCGAGGGGGTGCTGCTGTCGAAGCAAGTGTGGTTCACGCACTCTGATAACACCACCGTCAACCCCCTGCTTACCATCGGGTGCGTTGCGTTGCGTTGGGCCAGTGTGGGAAGGTGAGAAAGCGGAAAGAGGGCAAGGGAAAGGTGTGGCAAGGAGGGAGGAGGGAAAGCGTGAAGGGGTAAAGGGAGGAGGGGGAAGAGGGGGAGAGGAGGGCGAGGAGGAAGTGCAGGAGGGGAGGGGAAAAGGGGAGCGGGAGTGGGAGCGAGGAGTGTATAAGTGCCATCAACCGAGCGAGGGGGTGCTGCTGTCGAAGCAAGTGTGGTTCACGCACTCTGATAACACCACCGTCAACCCCCTGCTTACCATCGGGTGCGTTGCGTTGCGTTGGGCCAGTGTGGGAAGGTGAGAAAGCGGAAAGAGGGCAAGGGAAAGGTGTGGCAAGGAGGGAGGAGGGAAAGCGTGAAGGGGTAAAGGGAGGAGGGGGAAGAGGGGGAGAGGAGGGCGAGGAGGAAGTGCAGGAGGGGAGGGGAAAAGGGGAGCGGGAGTGGGAGCGAGGAGTGTATAAGTGCCATCAACCGAGCGAGGGGGTGCTGCTGTCGAAGCAAGTGTGGTTCACGCACTCTGATAACACCACCGTCAACCCCCTGCTTACCATCGGGTGCGTTGCGTTGCGTTGGGCCAGTGTGGGAAGGTGAGAAAGCGGAAAGAGGGCAAGGGAAAGGTGTGGCAAGGAGGGAGGAGGGAAAGCGTGAAGGGGTAAAGGGAGGAGGGGGAAGAGGGGGAGAGGAGGGCGAGGAGGAAGTGCAGGAGGGGAGGGGAAAAGGGGAGCGGGAGTGGGAGCGAGGAGTGTATAAGTGCCATCAACCGAGCGAGGGGGTGCTGCTGTCGAAGCAAGTGTGGTTCACGCACTCTGATAACACCACCGTCAACCCCCTGCTTACCATCGGGTGCGTTGCGTTGCGTTGGGCCAGTGTGGGAAGGTGAGAAAGCGGAAAGAGGGCAAGGGAAAGGTGTGGCAAGGAGGGAGGAGGGAAAGCGTGAAGGGGTAAAGGGAGGAGGGGGAAGAGGGGGAGAGGAGGGCGAGGAGGAAGTGCAGGAGGGGAGGGGAAAAGGGGAGCGGGAGTGGGAGCGAGGAGTGTATAAGTGCCATCAACCGAGCGAGGGGGTGCTGCTGTCGAAGCAAGTGTGGTTCACGCACTCTGATAACACCACCGTCAACCCCCTGCTTACCATCGGGTGCGTTGCGTTGCGTTGGGCCAGTGTGGGAAGGTGAGAAAGCGGAAAGAGGGCAAGGGAAAGGTGTGGCAAGGAGGGAGGAGGGAAAGCGTGAAGGGGTAAAGGGAGGAGGGGGAAGAGGGGGAGAGGAGGGCGAGGAGGAAGTGCAGGAGGGGAGGGGAAAAGGGGAGCGGGAGTGGGAGCGAGGAGTGTATAAGTGCCATCAACCGAGCGAGGGGGTGCTGCTGTCGAAGCAAGTGTGGTTCACGCACTCTGATAACACCACCGTCAACCCCCTGCTTACCATCGGGTGCGTTGCGTTGCGTTGGGCCAGTGTGGGAAGGTGAGAAAGCGGAAAGAGGGCAAGGGAAAGGTGTGGCAAGGAGGGAGGAGGGAAAGCGTGAAGGGGTAAAGGGAGGAGGGGGAAGAGGGGGAGAGGAGGGCGAGGAGGAAGTGCAGGAGGGGAGGGGAAAAGGGGAGCGGGAGTGGGAGCGAGGAGTGTATAAGTGCCATCAACCGAGCGAGGGGGTGCTGCTGTCGAAGCAAGTGTGGTTCACGCACTCTGATAACACCACCGTCAACCCCCTGCTTACCATCGGGTGCGTTGCGTTGCGTTGGGCCAGTGTGGGAAGGTGAGAAAGCGGAAAGAGGGCAAGGGAAAGGTGTGGCAAGGAGGGAGGAGGGAAAGCGTGAAGGGGTAAAGGGAGGAGGGGGAAGAGGGGGAGAGGAGGGCGAGGAGGAAGTGCAGGAGGGGAGGGGAAAAGGGGAGCGGGAGTGGGAGCGAGGAGTGTATAAGTGCCATCAACCGAGCGAGGGGGTGCTGCTGTCGAAGCAAGTGTGGTTCACGCACTCTGATAACACCACCGTCAACCCCCTGCTTACCATCGGGTGCGTTGCGTTGCGTTGGGCCAGTGTGGGAAGGTGAGAAAGCGGAAAGAGGGCAAGGGAAAGGTGTGGCAAGGAGGGAGGAGGGAAAGCGTGAAGGGGTAAAGGGAGGAGGGGGAAGAGGGGGAGAGGAGGGCGAGGAGGAAGTGCAGGAGGGGAGGGGAAAAGGGGAGCGGGAGTGGGAGCGAGGAGTGTATAAGTGCCATCAACCGAGCGAGGGGGTGCTGCTGTCGAAGCAAGTGTGGTTCACGCACTCTGATAACACCACCGTCAACCCCCTGCTTACCATCGGGTGCGTTGCGTTGCGTTGGGCCAGTGTGGGAAGGTGAGAAAGCGGAAAGAGGGCAAGGGAAAGGTGTGGCAAGGAGGGAGGAGGGAAAGCGTGAAGGGGTAAAGGGAGGAGGGGGAAGAGGGGGAGAGGAGGGCGAGGAGGAAGTGCAGGAGGGGAGGGGAAAAGGGGAGCGGGAGTGGGAGCGAGGAGTGTATAAGTGCCATCAACCGAGCGAGGGGGTGCTGCTGTCGAAGCAAGTGTGGTTCACGCACTCTGATAACACCACCGTCAACCCCCTGCTTACCATCGGGTGCGTTGCGTTGCGTTGGGCCAGTGTGGGAAGGTGAGAAAGCGGAAAGAGGGCAAGGGAAAGGTGTGGCAAGGAGGGAGGAGGGAAAGCGTGAAGGGGTAAAGGGAGGAGGGGGAAGAGGGGGAGAGGAGGGCGAGGAGGAAGTGCAGGAGGGGAGGGGAAAAGGGGAGCGGGAGTGGGAGCGAGGAGTGTATAAGTGCCATCAACCGAACGAGAAGAGTTCCGGTTTCACAGACTCTCGGCTATCAGCTAGTGTTTAGAGTTTCACTGTTTTTCCTACTTGCTTAAGCTTAAACCTGGCACTACTGCTCACTGGAATTATGTCAGAGGCTCTGATAACACCACCGTCAACCGTCAACATTGTGAGGGATGCAATCGAGCATGCTGGGTTTCCTCCTCCCTGTAGCCCCGAATCAAAGCCTCGCTCCCTACCCGCATCTCCATTTCCACCGCGTTCCTCCACTCTCCCTTTTCCCCGCTCTCCCTGCCCTCTCCCCCTCTCCCCGCGCCCTCTCTCCCCCTCCCCTCCACTCTCCACAGCTGTGGCATGGCGCAGAGCAGCAGTTTCGCCAGGGTCACGGAGGCGCCAGACGGAGTGTACGACCTGACCTCGCTCTCTTCTTTTTCCCCGTTCTTTTTCCCCATCACCTCCCCTCAACTCCATTTCCTCCTCGTCCCTCTCCCTCCCCTCCTTCCCCCCTCCCTGCCCTCTCCCCTCACCCCTTTTCCCCCACCTCTCCCCCCCCTTCTCCCCACAGCTGTGGCATGGCGCAGAGCGGCAGTCTCGCCGGGGTCACAGAGGCGCCGGACGGGGTGTACGGGCTGGGCAGGGGGGCGCTGAGCATCCCAGAGCCAGATGAACGACCTGGCCATATGGGAGTACGCTCCAAGCTGAAACGTCACTTCCTTCTTTCTCCCCGTCACCTCCCCTCGTCCCTTCCCCGTCTCGCTCTCACCTTTTTCCCTACCCTCTTCCCCTGTTCCCCGCATCCTCTCTCCTCCCCCCACCTCTCTTCTCCCCACGCCTCTGGCAGCTGTGGCATGGCGCAGAGCGGCAGTCTAGCGGGAGTCACAGAGGCGCCGGACGGGGTGTACGGGCTGGGCAGGGGGCCGCTGAGCATCCAGAGCCAGATGAACGACCTGGCCATATGGGAGTACGGGTACGGCATGTGTCTCGAGGGCGACGCCTCCAGCACCAACGCCAAGTCGTACCTCTCCCTGGGGAGCGGCCGCATTGGCGGGGCCAACGACTCTGTTCCGATTATTTTTGTTGGGAACAGGTGTGTGCGTGCGTGTGTGTGCCTGGGTGGGTGAGAGAAAGATGGCAAGACCAAGCGATAGGCGAGAGAAAGATTGTGAGAACAAGCGACAGGTGAGAGAAAAATGGCGAGAACAAGCGATAGGTGAGAGAAAGATTGTGAGAACAAGTGATTGGTGAGAGAAAAATGGCGAGAACAAGCGATAGGCGAGAGAAAGAGGGGTGTGCGTGTGGGTGCGCCTTCCCCCCGCAACCTCTCAGCCCGCTGCTATTCGCAGACATGGTAGCCATGGCTGTTGGGCTCTGAGACATCTCAATTCTCTTTCTTCTCTTTCTTCTCTTCCCCTCGACCCCACCTTCACCTCTCCCCCCTCACCCCAACCTCTCAGCCCGCTGCTGTTCGTGGACATGGTATCCGTGGCTGTGGGGCTCGTGACGCTGAACTTGCCGCCCGGAACGTTCTCCCTGCCGTCCGATCAGGGTCTGGGCGGCACAGTGTTCGACCCCTTCACCACCATCACCCGCCTGCCGCCCGCTGCTCTCAATGGCATGATTGATGCTGTAGGGATGGGGGGAGGTGGGGAGGGTGAGGGCGGGATTGATTAAGAGTGGATGGGTTTTTGAGTCGACTCGTATGTCTGAGTCGACTCGTATGTCTGAGTCGACTCGTTTGGGATAAAGAAGGACGGGAAGGTTTGGGATGGGATGCGATGCGATGCGGTGGGATGCAATGCGATGGGATAAGATGGGATGGAATGAGATTTGAGGGGTTAGGCTGGGTTGGCCTTCAATCTCCACTGTACCACTGCACCTCTCTTTCTGCTGCATTTCTTTGCTCCTTTTCTTTGCTCCTCTGGTGTCATCAGCTGCAGACGGGAATCTACTTGAACTCGGACTCATAGCTTGCAATTGCACTCTGCTCTCTGCTACCTGTGCCTGCCCTGCCCTGCCCCGCCCCGCCCCGCCCCACCCCACCCTGCCCCATCCTGGTGGCAGCTGGTGTACACCCGCCCGGGTCTACTGCCGGACGCCACCACGTCCACTGCACTGGGGCTGCGCTGCTTCACAGGCACCATGTACAAGAAGTGAGTGCGCCGCCTGCCTGCCTGCCTGCCTGCCTGCCTGCCCTGCTGCGAGAACAAGAGAGTGCTGCGTGCTGAGTGATGCGTGTTTTGTGCTGCGTGCGTTGTTCCACATGCATGCTCCTGCACGTGCATCCTCCTCCTCCTGCACGTGCATGCGCCATCAGCAACAACTAAGCAAGCCCATCGCTTTCGACTCCCCTCTCTCCCCCAATCCCCTGTATCCCCCTCTAGCTTCCCACGTGCCCCCTCGTCACTCCCATACCCCCTTCCTTGTTCCCCTTCTAACCCAAATCACCCCTAGCTTGCACCTTCTCCTTCCCCTCCCCCTTCATCCCCTCCCCTCCCCCTTCATCCCCTCCCCTCCCCCTTCATCCCCTCCCCTCCCCCTTCATCCCCTCCCCTCCTCCCTTACCCCCTCCCCTCCTCCCTCAACTCCCCTTTCCCTTCACCCCCTCCGCTCCCCCCTCACCCCCTCCCCTTCCCCCTCATCCCCGCCCCTATCCCATCTGCGCCTGTTGTCGGTCTGCCTGACCCCACAGTGCCAACTATACGGCGTTCTACCAGCAGTTCCCCACCCACCATGAACACGTGCTTTGTGCTGAGGCAATCTCTGAGGCACCTAGAAACTCTCCCCTTCCCTCTCACCCCCTCACCGCCTCACCTCACCCCCGTCCCCTTCCCCATGGCGCCTGTTGGCAATCTGCCTGACCCCACAGTGCCAACCATACGGCGTTCTATCAGCAGTTCCCCACCATGCACATGCGCTTTGGCAACGGGGCCTACTTCTTCCTCCTCCCAGAGACCTACCTCATTGCCGTCAGTGCTCCTTCCCACCACCACCACCACCACACCACCACCACCACCACCACCACCACCACCACCACCACCACCACCACCACCACCACCACCACCACCACCACCACCACCACCACCACCACCACCACCACCACCACCACCACCACCACCACCACCACCACCACCACCACCACCACGCCTTGCTTTCGCGTCTTGCCTTGCCACCATGCCTTGCCACCATGCCTTGCCACCATGCCTTGCCTTCGCACCACACCTTGCCCTGCCTTTTCAACCGCACAGAAACCACAACCGTCCTGCTGCCTTCCATCGTCTCGTTCCCTCTACCTTGCCCTCATCCCTCACCCGCATTCCTCACCCTCATCCCTCACTCTCATCCCTCACCCTCATCCCTCACTCTCATCCCTCACCCTCATCCCTCACTCTCATCCCTCACCCTCATCCCTCACTCTCATCCCTCACCCTCATCCCTCACCCGCATTCCTCACCCTCGTTCGCTTCTATCTGACATGTATCTCACTGTTTCTTCTGCCCATTCAAGTGTTGCGATCATTCCCCTCAGCTCACACTCGCCGTCTTTATACAACCATTTGAGGCCCCTCACACATTCATTCATTCATTCCTGCATTCACGCGCGCCACACCGACCCAACCCTTCTCAACCTGCAGACCCCCTCTACTGGCAAGGTGTGCTTCGCTGCTGCGGCCTCTGAGGACAGCCGAACCACAATCGGAGGTACGGGGAAGAGGTCCGGTTCGGTTCGGTTCGGTTCGGTTCGGTTGCGATGGTTGATTGGAGCAGGGACAAGGCTCCACTCTTGTTGTTTCCGATTGGCATGCCTTCGCCTTTCAAGGCTTCACTCCCCAAGCTCTTTCTGACCACTGCTGCTCCTCTTTGTATATCGGCATGCCTTCTTCTCTTGCCCTTCCACCCCTCCCCCTTCCCATACCCCATCCCCATCCCCATCCCCATCCCCATCCCCATCCCCCATCCCCCATACCCATCCCCATCCCCCATCCCCCATACCCATCCCCATTCCCCCATCCCCCATCCCCATCCCCCATCTCTCTCCCCCTCCGCTCCTTCTCAGAGTCCTTCCTACGCAACAAGTATGTGGTGTATTCCTTCATCACCAACGACATCTCCTGGTACGACATGAACTGCACCACCGGCCTCCGCTACTCCAACTTCACGCTCCGCCCCCCACCCACCGCGCCCTCCCCTCCCCCCGGCACCCCCCTAGCGCCCCCCATGTACGAGTATCCGCCTCCGCCCTCCCCTCCGCCCCCCAAACCGCCGTCTCCGCCCCCCAAACCCCCCTCCCCGCCTCCTCCGAAGCCCCCCAAGCCCCCCTCTCCGCCCAAACCTCCCCCCTCTCCGCCACCCAAGCCCCCTCCATCTCCCCCCTTAAAGCCTCCTCTTTCCCCCCCCAAACCCCCCTCTCCTCCCCCCAAACCCCCTCCGCCTTCCCCCCCGAAGCCCCCATCTCCCCTGAAGCCCCCGCTTTCTCCCCCCAAGCCCCCTCCGTCTCCCCCTTTGACACCCCCCGCTTCCCCTAAGCCTCCCCCATCCCCTCTGAAACCACCAACACCTGCAAGTCCCCCTCCTCCCAAACCTCCTGGTTCTACCACTTCCACCCCACCTCCCCCTGCAAAGACCCCTCCCCCCACCACCTCCGCCCCCCCTACCCCCAAACCTCCTGGTTCTACTACCCCTTCCGCGCCCCCTCCCCCCAGACCTCCTGGTTCTACTACTTCCACCCCCCCTCCCCCCACCACCTCCGGTCCCCCTGCTCCCAAGCCCCCGGGCTCTGGAGCCTCTACACCCCCCCCTACTCCGTCTGACTTTCCCCGTCCCCCTGAACCGCCCCTCCCCCCTGGTCCTGCGCCCCCACCAAAACCCCCCCGCCCCCCTCGCCCTCCCCCGAACCCTCCCCCCATGCCCCCACCCACTCCCCCTCCGCGACCCCCCCCGTCCCCCCCGCCCTCCCCCCAATCCCCCCCCAGAACCGCCCCCAGCACCCCCAACTCGCCCCCCCCGACCCCCGCGCCCTCCCCCAAACCCTCCCCCTATGCCCCCCCCTTCTCCCCCTCTCAAACCCCCTCGCCCCCCGCGTCCCCCCCCTCCACCTTTCCCCCCGGGTTACATCTTCCCCCCATCCCCCCCGCTGCCCCCTCCCTCTCCATCCCCGAAGCCCCCAGTAGGTTCACTCGACCAACCTCCCCCTCCCGATTCGTCCCCCCAAGATTCCCCCCCTGCCTTCCCCCCGCCTTGGACCCGCCCCCCCCGGGTATGGGCGAAGGGCCCCCCTGCCCCTATCTTCTCCGCCCCCCCTTGGTGGACAATATGGCCTCTTCACACCTCCTCCCCCGCTGCCTCTACATCTGCTCCTGGGTTTGATCCGAGCATTCTGGACCGCCAATTGGACCGCTCGGGCAGTGAGGCAGGAGTTGCAGCAGCAGCAGGCGGAGGAGTGAGTGGGCTGGGAGGGTTCCGGGTGCAGAGCTTTGGTGAGGAGGACGGGGTTGGGGAGGTGGTGGGGCGGAAGGAGGCGGGAGAAGGGGTCAAAGGCACAATGAGTGTTGTTGCAGGCTCAACCGCTACTAATGCCGCTGCCAAAGCTGCCGCCACCAAAGCTGCAGCCGCGGAAGCTGCGTCCGATGCTGCGTACCCGGACGCAGCAAGCATAGCGCAGGCGTTGCAGTACGAGAAGAAGCACGGGCTGAGGGAAAAGGTGATCGGAGCGTCACCGGCAGAGTATGAGCAGGCGCTTGAGGAGGGAGTGGATGTGATGGGGGATGTGTACGATGAGGAGTTTGACCAGGCTGCTGTGAACGCAGCCAAGGAGGGGAAGATTGCCCGGGCTGAGGCGGAGGAAGAGGCGGCGGCGGCTGCAGCGGGAGAAGTGAAGTCCGGTGATTCTGGTGGTGGTGGTGATGGTGGTGATGGTGGTGCTGCTGGTGGTGCTGGGGGCGCTGCTGCTGCTGGTGCTGCTGGTGCTGGTGGTCCTGCTGGTGCTGGTGGTGCTACTGGTGGTGCTGCTGGTGCTGGTGCAACTGATGGTGCTACTGGTGGCACTGCTGGTGATGCTACCGTCCTTGGTGAGAGAGCCGGGGAGGTGGGAGGTGTGGATCGGCAGATGGTATTCGCTCACTCCATTGACCTGCTGCCCATCGATTACAACAACCCCCTCTCAGCCGCTGTGCTTCCCGGTGCCGACGCAGCTGGGGAAAACGCAGATGAGAGCAGCAGCAGCAGCATTGCAGTGAAAGCACATGTCACTGCCGCTACAGCAGCAGCGACTGACGATGCTTCCGAAGAAGACACCCCCTTCTCCTTCCTGCCGACCTCCTCCCTCTCCTGCATGCCTGCCACTGACTGTGACTTCCACTTCGAAGGACACGCGGACTCGATCCCTCTCTTTGACATCTCCTCACTGCCAGCCTCCGGTGGTGCTCTGCACACCCCGCCCATTGCTTTCCGTGCTTCGGCTGCTGCACGCACAGTGAAGCTGGAAGAGAGGGAGGCACGGGAGAGGGAGAGGGAGGGGGAGAGGGAGTGTTTGCCGCCCAAGGTAGTGAGTGTGGAGAGTGGGGAGGGCATGGCGGCGTGTGATGAGGAGGAGGCGCCTGCGAGCGTTGACAAGCAGTTCTACCTGCATGACCATGTGAGAGGCGTTTTGGTTGGGAGGATAGGGGCACATACTTAAGTGAGTGGTGTGTGGGTGTGTTGATGTGAGCATGTGGCATGTGTGTGCTTGTGCGTACGTGTTTGCTTGCAGACGCACAGGTATTTGTCACCATTCCTCTCCCTTCCTCCCCTCCCCAGCCCCCCCTGCATCTCCTCCCACCAAATCTCAACATTCTCCATCATCCCACGCACCTCATTCACTTATTCCCTTCCCTTTCCTCTCCTCCCCACTCTTCGCCCCTTCTCCTGGCATCCTCTCCCCACTCTCTCCCCATTTTCTCCGTTCGTCCCTCCTCCAGCGCCTAGCATCGCACCCCTTCCATCCAGCATCCAGCAAGGCAGCATACTCTGGCGTGACGGTGCGCCTGCAGCTGCTCTCTGTGTCGCTGCTGCTGGATGGAACAGTAGTGAGCCTGCGCGAAGGGGACGGGCTTGAAGGGTTCCCTGAGGACAAGCGATGCATTCTGTTTGGAGTCCAGGGCGGGCGCGACTGAGAAAAGCACAGATGAGGCGAGTGGAGGGCTGAGGGGCGAGGAGGGAGGAGGGAGATTTGAGTCAACTCGAGGGGTTCCCGGAGGACAGGCGACGCGTGCTGTTTAGAGTCCATGGCGGGCGGGATTGAAGGGTGGACGGACGAGACGATTTTTGAGTCAACTCAAAACTTGGGCCTGGAGGACACGTGATGTGTGATGCTTGGAGTTCTGGGCGGGCGCGACTGAAGGATGCACGGGTGAGGCGAGGTGAGGGCTCAGGGGGGATTTTTTTTAATGTCTCGAAAAGCGATGTGCACTGTTAGGAGTCCAGGGCAGGCACGAGTGAAGAATGCATGGATGTGGCAAGTGGAAAGACAGAGGGCAAGGAGGAGAGAGGAGGGAGGAGAGAAGGGTCGGGGAGGGGGGAGGGACGGGGAGGAGGGAGTGAGGAAGGAGAGGAGGGACGAGGGGTGGATGGATTGGGGGGGGCTGGTGAGCGAGGAGGGTCTAGGTGTACTGGAGGGAATTCTCGTGTTTAATGTGTGTGGGGTGCTTTGTGATGGGAGATAATGTTCTGTGCTGTCATACCTTGTCAGGCCATTACATGGAATATGGGGTGTATCAGTATGAGGTTGGGGTTAGAGTGGTACGAGTGATGGGAAGGATGGGGAAGAAGGTGAGGTTGAAGGTCTGGCAGATGTGTCTACTTCTGTCTGTGTACATGTGCCATGTGATTCTGTTGGTGGGAACACGGAAATAGCTGTAGTATGGAGGGAGCATGGCAATGAAGGAGGGGGGGATGAGGGAGAACATGGAATGTAAATGGCCGTTGGGGGTTGTGCTGGTACCTACTGTCTGTTGTGGGATTATGGGTATTCTAGCTTAATCATTTCGACCTTTGGTGGCCATAAGTGCCTATTCAAGGTCGTGCCACAAACAATAGTTGCTCACAGCATATGCTCCCTTGGTTGCAGCCAGTATATTGAATCAATGTTTGGATCTGTTAAAACAGGATCATGAGGGAGGGATGAGTGTAAATGCAAAATGCATTACCAAATTGTTATGGGCATGTTGACCACATAGGCTGCCAACAATGGCTGCTAGAAACGAGTTGACGGAGTTTCCTAAACGAACTGACATCTGACTGGCCCATTGCTGGTCGTCGTTTGTCGCAAACCTTGCTGCTCGCCAATCAGACCAGCGAGGGTTGACCCAGGTGCGGTGCGGGTGGCGACACTGACACACCAACACCCACGCAGTAACCCAATGGTCAGGCATGAAGCTCTACTGTCTTTTTCGACGATTCTCGAACCTGCGATTACCGATGCTTGGCGAAAATATGCGAGCCACCCAGCGATCGTGGGCGATGATGTGAGCGCGAGGACGACTGGGCGTGGTGCATACGTTATTCGCTTGTTTGTCGCCTCACCTCCCTCCCACCACCGCCATGTCTCCTTCCCATCTTCTCGGGAATCGGGGTTCATCTGCTCACTCTCCCCCCCATCTCGAAGTCATCCTTCCACATTCATAACCCTCCAGACCTCCGCCATTGGTTGAAACCACAACCACTCTTCAGCCTGCAAACGAGGTGTTTGCCCCCACTCTGTTTAGATCCTAACCGCGTTCTCTACAAATTAGTTCGTATTGTTTTCTCAGATTGCTGGTAGCATCCCTCCTTGGGACTATCGTGGTTCATTCCCCTCACCTCCATCCTGCCAGTCTGGGCTTAGAGTCTTATCCAGGCCTTTCCAGTTCTCTATAATCTGCCTCGCTTCCAAGTTGTTTCACCTTCTCGTCAAGTGGCTCATGTTCAGCGGCGGAGACTTGCTTTAATAAGAGCCAGATAAGAAACTTATTGCTCCAATTGACGAACATAGCCATGGATTCCAGTACCGAAGCTCTCCTACTCGCAAGCGGGAAAGATATCACCAGCAGCAGCGGCAGCGGTGGCGGAAGCAGCAAGCTACCGCTAAAAAAGTCCGGCAGCAGAAACACTTCCGGTTCTAGATCTCGCGGCGTGAGCGGGTGGTGGGTTTTCGCGCCGTTCCGATGGCTGCTGCGGGTGCTGATGTTCTGGCGGCGGCGGAGCGACGACGACTTCGAGAAGAAGCTGCAGCACCTGTCGTCGGAGGAGGTGAACGTGCACCGCCGACTCAAGCAGCGCATCGTCTGGTGGCGGCGCACCGCGCGCTCCATCATGCTCTACTCCTCCTCGCTCGAGGTGCGCTCGTGCTTACATGCGTGCGTGCGATTAGTCCCTTATTTGTATCATTTATTCCCCCCGCCCCCCCCTCCCGCTTTCCCATCCCCCCTTCCCCATTTCCCCCAATCTTGTTAGTATTCTTCTAGTCTGGGTTCGCTGTTGTTTTTTTCTTCCTTAATCATTTTTTATTTCGCTCATCAGATGGTGTAGAGAAATTCAGGATTTGCGTTGAAGCACAACTCTGGGTACCGGTGGTGTCTTGTAAGGAGTCTCGCCGTTGCGCTGCGTTGACCCGTTTCTTGAAATCGAAGGCTGCGAATCCAGGGTACGGGATTCGCCAGTAATTAGCATCATGGGCATGGGCACGAGTGAAGGCGTCGACGTTCGAGGAATGCGTAACTTGTCAAGAGTCTCTATCGTCTTTATCGTCTATATCCTCCGGCTACACCAGCTACACCAAACTACCCGCAAGCTCATGTTGACCGTAGCAGCCAACGACCGGCCGACGACCAAGTCAACATCTCCACGTCGTGTCGTGTCCTAGAAGCTGCTGCAGTTGCGGATTCGTTCCTAGCTGATGAGAACCGCACGTGGCTCCTGACTCGGCGACTGTGTCTTAACCTGCCCGCGCTTGGTTGGTTCTGGGCCGCGTTTCTTGTCTCAGCGAACCGAGCAGGCGGTTTCGTTGCGTTTCAGCACTCCAATTCGCGCCTGAGCCTTCCCCCTGCCGCTCCGTTCTTACTCTCCAGCCTGTGTCAAACCCCTGTTCCTGTCTTCCCTCTCCTCTTCGTTTCCCTCCATTTCCTCCCCTCCCTTCCCCCCAACCACCCACTCCGCTCCCGCTCTCCGTTCAGTTCCTGATAGTGGGAGTGGCAGTGGTGATGGCGCGATCGCCGGACCTGCTGTGGCACCACCGCCTGATGCGCACGTCGCCCGTGCTGCTCTTCCCGCTGCTCGCCACGGCGCTCTACACGCTCTGCTCCCGCCTCGTGCAGCTGTGTGAGTGGGCCGCGGGGGCCATGGGGGCCGGGGGGGGCCAGGGGGGCCAGGGGGGCCATGGGGGATCAGGGGGGGGCAGGGGGCCCATGGGGGCCATGGGGGCTGTGGCGGGCTGTGGCGGGCTGTGGTGGGCTGTGGCGAGCTGTGGCCACACGCTCAAGCATATGCGCACTTGCACGCGCACGCTACGCCTCTTCCCTTCCCGTGACCAACAGACGACAATCGGGACCGTGACACGCTGGAGAGGCTGAAGGCGGAGAGGCAGGCGCATTTGGACGAGCTCAAGGAGCGCACCAACTACTACAAGACGCTGCAGATCATTCAGGTCAGCACGGCTGATCGTGCAGGTGAGAAGAGAAGGGCGCGAGATGCTGCAGTGCAGATTGTTTGTGTCAGCAGGGTGTTATGCGCTGGTGATACAGGTGAGGAGGGCGCTGGCTGTTGATGGCTCAGGTGAGAGGAGAGCGTGGCTTTTAGCGGTGGTGTGAGTGAACATGTTTAGCAGGGCGTCAAGTGATGTTCGAGCTAGCACATGAATCTGGGAAGATTTTTCTGTTGCCTTGATCCTCGCTGTTCAGGTCAAGCCAAGCCACCGTGCCTCTTTACGACTGGATGTGTTTTCTGCTCATCTGTTGTGCTGCCCTGAGAAGCTTGTCTACTTCTGCTCGTTTGGATTGAGTGCGAGACTGGCGTCTTGCCCTACCCCTCCTGGTTCTCTCTCCTCGTCAACCCCATCCCTGCTTCCTCGTTCATTGGCTTGTGCATATCCTTCCCTGGTTTCTCTTGCTGATTATTCTCAGCAATACGAGAAGGATCCTGGCTGGTCGGCCGCAGGCCCGTTGACAGCAGCAGCAGCAGGTACTGCTGGCGCGAAGGCTGGTAATGCTGCCGGTTCAAAGGGCCTCCCTGGAGCTGGTACTGGTGCGGGTGCTGCTGGCTCTGCTGGTGTGCTTGGCAAGGGTCGTAGGACGAGCTCTCTCCCCTCCTTCCAAACTCCTCACACGCCCCACACTCCCCACACGCCCTCCTCCTCCCTGCTACCATCTATTGTGGGCGTCATTGGCGGTGGTGCGTCTGGTGCGTCTGCTGACACCAACGGTATCGCCTCCCCTGATGCTGCTGCATACGGCGCTACGGGTGCGGCAGGGGCGGCAGGAGGAGTGGGAGGGGGGGGTGGATTCATGGGCGGAAAGGGAGGGTACCATCAGGAGGAGGCAGCAGCAGGGGGAGTGAGTTTGAGCAGCCCTGCTGGTCTGCGCCGGCGCAGGGGGAGTGGGAATCATGGGAGCGCGGGAGTGAGTCCTGGGGCGGCTGGGGGACAGGTCGCGGGCGGGGGAGGAGGCGGAGGAGGGGGAGGGGGAGCGGGAGGAGCAGGTGGGGCGGATGCAGGTAACTCGTTTGGGGGAGGGGCGCTGGGGTGGATTGCGGGGTTGATTTTGGGGGATGCGGTGGCAGGGGAAGGAGGGGCGGCAGCAGGGGGAAGTGGAGCAGGCGCAGGAGCAGGAGCGGGAGCGGGAGAAGCAGTGAAATCGCCCTCGCTCTTGCTCCCAGGGCCTCTGGCCTCTACACCATCGCACAGCCGCAGCAGCAGCGGTGGTGGTGGTGGCAGCGCGGTAGCAGCAGTAGCTGGGCGCCCGTCTAGTGGGGCGTTTGGCCATGCAGCAGGGGCGGAGGGGGGGAGGGAAATAGCAGGGTTGGGGGTATCAGCGCACGGGTATGGGGATCGAGGGATTTCGAATTCCGGGTTGGGAATGGGCGCCCCTGGTGCTGGTGGTGGTGGTGGTGGTTATGGTGGAGGTGGTTGGGGGGGCGGGGGGAGTGGAGCAGGGGCGAGGAGGACAGGGAGGGCGTCGGAAGAGGGGTGGATGGCGAGGATAGCAGCGATGCTGGTGGGGGAGGACGCCACACAGTGCTATGCACTCATCTGCCACAAGTGCTTCAGCCACAATGGTGCGTATCTATCAAGGCAGGCTGCTTTCAACATGTTGTGAGACGCCTCAAAACCAGAGGAGGGGTGGATGGCGAGGATAGCAGCGATGAGGGTGGGGGAGGATGCCACACAGTGCTATGCACTCATTTGCCATAAGTGCTTCAGCCACAACGGTGGGTGGCCATGCAACCTGTGGTCTGGTCAGCATATGACGCCTTGTGCGAGGGGTAGTTGTGCAAGGGGTAGTTGTGATAGGAGCGCTGATGACTTGGGGTAATGACTAGTTCAATCCTGTCTCACCACTTTCCTCCCCGGTGTTTCCTCTCTGTGTGTTCTTCAGGCTTGGCGCGCAAGGAGGACTTTCCCTACATCACCTACATCTGCCCCCACTGCCGCCACCTAAACCAAGCACCCGCTGCCACCCAGCAGCAGCCGCAGCAGCACCACCAACTTTCCCAACCCCACCCGCAGCAGCAGCAGTATCATGACCAAAGTGGCAGTGGCAGCGGTGGAATAGGGGGGTTGGCAAGCGTTGGTGATGGTGGTGTGGGAGGTGCAGGTGGTGGTGGTGGGGATAGGGGTGCAGATGAGGGTGCGGGTTCGTCAGGGCCATCCAGGGCGTCTAGTAGTGTGTCTTCTCCCACTGGTGCTGTGACTGTTGGTGGTGATGGCAGGAGGGGGCTGAGGCGAGGGCGGAGTGTGGGGCGCCGGGCACCTAAGCTTGCGGCTGTGAGAACCACTGGATCGTTTTCTGCTGCTTCTGCTGTTGCTGCAGCCGCTGCCGCCGCTGCTGATGCTGGTGCTGATGATGTCGATGCTGCTGCTGCTGCTGCTGCGGCTGCTGCGGCTGCTGGTGTTGGTGTGCCCACTGCTCCTGATTCTGCAGGTCATGCTGCTGAGAGGCTGGGAGAGGGGATGGATGTATGCAGTGCAGGGCAGCAGGGGCGGTTGATCGGAGGTGAGGGAGAGCAACGGGAGGAAGAGGGGGAACACGCTATGGGGTCGCATGATGGGTGGAGCACAGATGACGGGGAACTGGATGAAGTGGGTGCAAGCATTGGAGGGGGAGGGGGTGGGGACGGAGGGGTTGGCGGAGAGGGGAAAGTAGAGGGGGGAGCTGCGCGGGGAGCAGAGGAAGGGGGGGGAGCGGGCAGCGAGGGAGATTTTCAGAGACCAGGGCAGGATGGCGGTGCCAGGGAGTTGGAAGTGGTGGACGGTGGTTCTGCCGCTGGGTTGCCTTCGGCTGGTGGTGATTCACACGAGGGGCCTGAAGGGTCTGAGGGACCTGAGGGGTCTGAGACTTGTGGTGTTTCTGCCTCTCCTGTGCGTGAGGGGACGGATGGAGGAAGTGGTGATGGGAGTGGCTTGGATGAGGGTGATTGGAGCATCGTGAGCGGTGGTGGGGAAGTTGAGAAAGCTAAGGTGGAGGCGTGAGGGGTGGGATGGGGTGTTAGGAAGATGGCTGAACAGTGGTGATGCACTGATGTAACTTTAGGACGGAATGGTGTCAACTAACTAGACTTGGCTGTTGCTAGTCAGGGTTTGAAGGTTGGTGGTGGGGTGTTTCAACTGTTCTAGAAGACTGCCAAACGTCTTGATTGTTCCATAAGGATCATTTCTTGAACGAATATTTCCAAGTTGGTAGGTTGTGACGAGCAGCACAGCCGAAGCTGCAATCGTTTCACCACAGGCGTCGATACTGACGGTTCAGCGTGGGCTCGTTTCGTTTTGGTCAAAACTTTGTGTCAGTGTTGGTTTGGTGGAACACTCAAAGCCAAGGGCTTGTCGCAAGATGTCACGGTGGAGTGTGATTATGCGGTTTCGAAAGCGGTTCAGTCGCCAAACCGCTTCGAACCCGAGTACAGAACCCTCCAGTCCAGCACGGAGGAGGCCTAGTACAGAATCGAAGCAAGGCAGTTCGACTCAAGATACACCTGATGCCTATTTCAGTCCCCTTCCCCATCTTTCCCTGTGCTCCTCTCTCGAGCACGCGCTCCCCATGGGGAGAATGGGACTGTATTTGGGTAGCCTAGCGTGTCTTGTCTGGGAAACTCGAATAACTTATTCGAGGTCAAGAATATCTTGGTTTTGTCGTGGGCTAGTAACGCGCGGGCCGTTGGCTGTGAATGTCTACCACTGGGCGTATGGAGTGGCAGTGGACATGTTCAGAGTGGGCGGTTGAGTGAGCATTAGGGTGTACAGTACAAAACAAGTGCGTGCCCGTGCGCACGACCAACCAAACCCGGGGGTCGTCGTCACGTGACGTCCACGTCCGTCTGTCCTTTGCTGGCCTGCGGTGAGCAAGTTGTTCATCAGCAGCATATCCATCAATCATCAGACTAGGGTGCCTGAATCGCCTCAGGTGCCTGCCTGGCTGTGTATTCACTGACCATTGGCCGTCAGGCTGCCTCTGGTCTGTTGCTGACGGTCCATGGCGGACCCCGTCCGTTTAATTTATATCGTCTGAACCACTACTCTCGTTTCGCTCGCATTGCGCGTCTCCTTATTGCGATATCAATTTACGGAATAAACTAAGCAATGGCGACGGCGTTGCGGGTTGGCTCGCCGCTCCAGACGCCGCAATGCACGGACGAGCGGTGCAGATTCCGTTCGATGGCCGCTCGCAAACCACCGAGATTATCATTTTCACGAAGCAAGGTGCCAGTGACAACGTCGGTGGCACTCGCAGCTCAATCGCCTCAGAAACACGCTCCTAACAGCTCATTCTTCAGAAAGTCCTCGCACAAATTCCGCTCTACGAGAGTAATTCCTAAAATTCACCAGAACTTTGGCGCGTCGAGAACTCTCGGTCTTCCAAACACTGAGAGAGTTTCGGCTCGGTATCCTTCGGTGGTGTGTCGGGCGGGCAGCAACAAGGGGTGGACCTCGGAGCAGTCCCCGTATGAGACTCTCGGTGCGTGGTGTGAGTCTCGTGTGTGATTCTCGGTGTTGTGAGTGAATGCTTTGGAATACAATCGATAATCTGTTGCAACAGCATTCGTACGTCTTCTGCCCTCTGTGGTTTCTGTTCTCGGTACTGACGGATTTCTTTCCCCCTTGCGTCTCCTCCTCATCTCCCACGATGTCGCTTCGCTTGCCACGTCGATCTTTCCCGGCGTGCATCCACGTGGCGTGCATTGCAGGAATCGAGCGCGACGCGGGGGAGAACGAGATCAAGTCGGCCTACAGACGACTCGTGAAGCGGTTCCATCCCGATGGTGTGTAAGAGAGAGAGGGAGAGAGGGAGGGAGAGAGAGAGAGAGAGAGAGAGAGAGAGAGAGAGAGAGAGAGAGAGAGAGAGAGAGAGAGAGAGAGGGAGGGAGGGAGAGAGAGGGAGAGAGGGAGTTTGAGTAAAGTTTCATGCTTGTCTGTTTCTTATACCGTTCACTATGCCTGCGTACAGCAACCTATTGAAAGTTTGAGAGATGGTCTATCTTCCCCAATCGAGCATCTTCTATGCCCCGTCACTGCCCGCCCAGTAGCACCTCCTATGACCCTGTTCCCCCTCTCCATTCCCCAACTCCGCGCCCCGATCCCTTCCCCTCTCTCCCTCTCCACTCCCCATCCGCCCCCTGCTACTTTGGGGACACAGTGTACAATGCTTCAAGCGGCAGTGGGGACGAGGGGGAGGCGGGGGTAAAGGCGGAGGCGCAGGGGGGCGCGGAAGGGGAGGGGGAGACGGCGGAGGCGCGGTTCATCCGCATACAGGCAGCATATGAGCTGCTCATGGACCGGGACGAGCGCCGCCAGTATGACATAGACAACAGAGTTGATCCCATGAAGGTGTGAGCTGAGTTATGAGCCGACTCAACATTTCATCTGCATACACGCAGTGTATGAGCTGCTCATAGACCGGGACGAGCGCAGGCAGTATGACATGGACAACAGAGTCGACCCTATGAAGGTGCGTGCTGAGTTTTGAGTCGACTCAAACGTTCATCCGCATACAAGCAGTATATCATGTATGGGTTTCTTATGGACTGGGACGAGCGCCAGGCAGTACGACATGGACAACAGGGTCGACCCCATGAAGGTGCGTGTGTTGCTTCTAAACAGCGTTTGAGGGGCCTCAAACGTCGGTTCATCCGCATGCAGGCGGCATTCTTGCTTCTTATGGGATGGGCCGGGACTGGACGAACGCAGGGAAAGCAGTACGACATGGACAACAGGGTCGACCCCAGGAAGTTACGTGGCTTCTATTTATTTCTATTCAGTTTCTTCCATTCACACACCTCACAAACCTTGCTGAGACGTCTCAAAACTCCCTGTCCGCTCTCCTCCACGCTCCCTTCCGCCCTGCCGCCCCAAACCCCCCTCCTCCGTGTGTGGGTGGGTGGCACGACGACCACCAGGCGAGCAAGGCGTGGGTGGAGTGGGTGCGGCGGAAGAAGAAGGCGTTTGACCAGCGGGGGGACATGGCTATGTCGGCATGGGCGGAGCAGCAGCAGCGCGAGCTCAACCTGCGCGCCAGACAGCTCTCCAAGGACAAGGTTGGTTCTTTCCTGAGCACCGGCAACAAACAACCCTTTTCCAAGAGAATATCAAGTGTGTAAGCACACAAGAACTTGCTGCCATGTGGCGAAAGCTCCCAAGTGGGGTACGGCCAGACAGCTCTGCAAGGACAAGGTTGTTTTTGAGAATTCTCAAAAACTCTCTCCAGGGCAAGGTTGCCTTGCCTGCTTGTGCCCGCCCGCCTGCCTGCTTGCCTGCACTTGCTTGAGGCCCAATATTTAGACAACTGGTCCTGTTTGAATTACCCAAACATCTCTTGAAAGACAAGTTTGCCCTGCCTTGCAATAACCTGCCCACTTGCCCACCTGCATTTGCTCACGAATATGAACCCACGATCAGTCTTTCTTTTGTTTCTTTGAACCCATGAAGAGTTTTCATTAACACGGCCTGTCCTGATTCTGATTATCCAACTGCATCCCCCCCAATCCATTCCGACTCGGTTTTCTCCCCATTTTCTTCAACCTCCCCTTTCTCCCTCCCACTTCCTCACTCCCCGACCGTTTACTCCCCACTACAATCACTCCCCTCCCCCCAGTCGGACCCCGACGAGAGGAGGATTCTGGCGAGGGAGCGCGCAGCAGCCATGGAGGCTGCAGCGACGGTGATCAAGCGCCAGTCGCTCGTGCTCAAGAAGCGCGACCTGGAACGCCGCCGCGCTGAGGAAGCTGCCAAGAAGCGTCTCGTGGCGGACCTGCTGGCTTTGGAGGGGTTTGAGGTGGAGGAGGAGGGGGAGGGAGGGCAGGGGGGTGCGGATGGGGGGAGGGGGCAGCTGCCGTGGAAACGGGAGGGGTAGATTTTTTCTATTTTCGAATAAGAATCCAGAGTCGATGCAAAGAAGGGGAGGGGGGAGGGGAGGCGGGTGGAGATGGGGGAAGGGACCAGCTGCAATGGACAAAGTGAGGGGTTAGTGTCAAATGTTGTAGCCTTATGATGTGTGTCATATGGGGTACAGAAGTTTGGGTTAGGCTTATGTTCCCCAACCAACCTTAGTGAAACCACAATTCAGTTCTTGACAGTTAGGGAGGGAGGGAGGGTTGAAAAGGTTTTGGGTTAGGGAGGTTGGAGAATTGGATGAACGTGGCGCGGAAGGGACAATACGCGTACTGTGGTGCTAAGGAGTGCTGGTTAGGGCGTGCAAGTGCGTTTCAGAAAACAATAAGAAAAGAAACTACGGTACTAGTTGTCACACAGGCAGATGTAGGTGTTAGGGTTAGGAACGTCCAAGCAGTCCTATTCTCAAAAAGCAAATTCTGTACAATTTGAATTTGCTTCAAACGAGTTACCCAGTAGCGCCACTCTCGAGAATCAGCGCCAGCAAGCGGAATGCAACCTTCACTTCCACTCCCTTCCCTCTCCTCACCGACAAGTGCTGCTGCTGACGCCGAAAATCCTCACCACCACAACCACACACGTCATTTGGGAAATAGCTGCTCCGTCAGCACATTTGCCGACCAAGCCTGTAACCTTCACTCCAACTTCTTGTTCCTCATCTCGCATATCTCGTCATCTCGTCTCACGTATCGCGTCGCCATGGCCGCTCACCCCCCGCCTGTCTTGCGCGTGCTGCCTGT